TATTACAAGGACAAATGATTCTGGGATCAGTGAAGCAGCTTCAGCCAAACAAAGAGTAAAGGCATGTCAGCAACTGTCAAAAAAATTAGCCAGTTGATGCCGAAGGTTTAGGAACAAACACAACCAAAGAGTGACAAAACCGTACGGAGTGTGCTAAATGCTCAGTGGAAAAAAAAAAAAAATCTATGGGAGCTTTTTACACTACACCCCAGGGCAGAGAGGAAATTATGCCACAAGTGGACTGCAGCTCATAGCAAGGTCAGCCCAGACTCCAGTTCAGCAGCAGCTCTGAGAAAAACCTTACAGAAGGAAAAAATCAGATAGCATTGGCTCCCCAGTAACTGCAGGCACAGCTTGAACTGCGTATTGTTACCACTGAAGCACAGCAGCTCCTGCACTCCCAGCCTCTCCCAAGGCATCCGAAATAGCCCAAGTCTGGGAGTCCCAAGGAAAATTTTGTTACGCCCTGCTGAGGAATGTTCCACCCACGACTGTTGTTTCCTCCCATAAAAGGATCATTAGTGAGACAATTTCTGAAGTTCATGGTATTGTCTACAGATTTTACTGAAATATTGCACCAGGAAGGGGAAGCCAAACGAGCCAGACTATTTTAAGGCTTCTGCAGTTGGAGGAAATTCTAGGGCAAAATTTCAAAAAGGCAGATGCTTTGAACTGGGAAACATTAGGCTTTGTGGAGAAGGAGCATTCCTGCCTTTAGAACTGCTTAAATAACTCTTTTGGGGCCACACTGATCTGAACGACTTTATTTTTAGATTTAGAATCTGCATTTTCAGACACCTAGATGGTATTTTATACGAACATGTGTAAGTGATCAAGACTATTTGGGAAACAGTTTAAAAGTTAAGGACTGACTATAAAAAACCCTACTCTTCCATCCTTCTCACACCTACAACTCACCTTGAAGACCTGCCCAATCATCTCAACACCCAGGTTGAGCACAGAAGTGTTATCCCCAACACTGCCACTCTACCAGCCAGACGGGACAGGAGACTTGGACCACAGCAAGTATAGTGGCTGGATCTGCAATTAGGATTTTGAACATGCTATCCTTAAGGTCTCCTTTTCCTTAAGGAACATGGAGAGCACATTTCCATAGTTGCATATGACGTATTCCCACTGGGTCCAGCTGGGATTCAGGTTGCTCTAACTGGGAGAATAACATGCATCACTATTCAGACATGTCTCCCCCGCCAGCACTCCCTCACCATCAGTTATCAGCAAAACGTTATCCTGGTCTCAAAACCAAGACTGGGCTCCCCTCTCCTGGACGGCCGCGAAGGTGCAGCTCCCATCAAGGCTCACTAAAGCACTTCTCCTCTGCACAAGAGAGGGAAAGCTGCTTGCTTGGGCTCAGTTAGGAAATGAGCCCTTTCCCAAAGCAAGCTGTTAAAGACTAAATACCCTTGGTTTGTCTTCTAGGAACCTGCCTGGTTCCAACCTCTTGGTGGGCAGTTAAGGCTGACAGGAGATAGGAAAATCAAGGCTAGCTTCTGAGTACACAGTGCTCCCTCACCTGCAAGAGCAGCAGGGATGGCAACCCGCTGTGTGTGCAGCTCTGCCTCCCCACTCAAACCTGAAGCAGGCAGGGAACAGCCAGCATGCACAACAGAGCACCAGGACTCAGTGGGGAACCCCTCCTGGCTTCCTCTGACTTAACCAAGAACTTTTTTTCCTTCTACCGCTGCATCTGCAGTTTATGTTTCCTTTGGAAGGAAGTCAGAGATTGAAAGGATGTTTATTCAAACTGTTATTTACTCTCCAGACAAGAACAGCTCCTCCAGCTCAGATACCACGCAGTCAGGCAATTCTGGCAAATGCTGATCACAGTTTGTATCATGAATTGTTAGGAGAGAATGTGACTGAAGAAAAGAGGCTTTTGCAAAACACCTTCCAGGCTCAATCTTGCAATAAATGCACAAGATTCTGAGTTCTCACTGAAATTCAAGCAGCTACAACATCAGAGTTCATATGCATTTTATTTACAGCATACTTTGAAGAACAGGATGGACTGCATCCTGCCTCTCGAGTCCCAGTATGTCAGTCAAAAGACACGAATGGTTTTTTCAAAAGCTGCTCTGCTGAAAGTACTGTGTACTGCAGGTTATACACATCTCAGAGTAAGAAAGTGTTATAAATAGGAAAAGGTATCTTAAGATTAAACCTTTTGCTGTGGCTGGAGTTAAGCTTTGTTTCAAACCTACTGCAAAAGCTGGTTGCCAGCTCTTTATTAATCAGTGGTGGTTTGCAGATGTTTTGTAGGTGGGGTTATTAATCAAGGGTGGTTTGCAGTTGTGGTTACTATGATAAAATGCAGTAATGATCTTCATCCTGGGGAGAGGTTCACAGGATGACAGTATCTAACCACATACATGCTTCAGTCAAATTTTGCAGGGTAATACTAGTCTTGAGGATACAAATTTCATATAAATTTAATAAGAACATAAGATCAGAGAAACAAGAACCTAATTTTATTGTGGGACCAAACTACAAACTACTACCAGAAAAGGTGGTAAATAAGGAAAAAAAAGCCCCTTTCAGTAGCACTGACTCCCTTTCCTAGCAGAGCACTGACTTGTCTTATAGGCACATTGCTTTCAGTTCTAATTTCTCACTGTACATTGGAAAATTAAACCCTTCCTCTGCAAGTGGGAGAGGCCATGCCTGTTGCTCTATACAAAAATTAACATTTCTAAGTGTCCTTGATTCCACTGAGAATATGCTGGTGAAACAAAGACACTCTTCAGCACAGAAGCAGGCAGCTGAAGCTGAGAAGCAAGGGTTTTTCACCCCCACAATCGGGTTATCAACAGGATGGTCATGTTAAAAAGGCTGCTCACTCCCCCAGCTAGCACGCAGGATACACTAACTCAGAGAAAGTAGTGCAGCGGGTGAGAGGAACAGCAAATGTTTGTTCTAGGTTTCCTCTGTCTAATTCTGGGGAGACAAATACAAAATTCCATCTCAAACCGAAATGCAATTCAAGCATTCCCCAGCACTGTAAGATGACCTCCTCTGCTGCGGGTTCCTCCCACCAGATAACATGCAAAGCTTGCTGATGCTCATTTACTGCTTTAAATTTCAAGAGCCAGCCAAATCCTGCCACTGTAACCGTCTGGTTCCAGCAATTCACATATGGAATTCCCATACAAGTGTGAGATGGTGGACTTGGATTAGAAATGCAGAAATGCTCACACCATTCCAGATTGAAACAATTTTTCTTACTGGAGAACTAACACTTTCAATAATTTAATTGTTTTAGTATTTGTTAGGATCTCTTAAACTAAGAAACAACTGTTACGCTCCTGGGAGACTGCCTGGCCTTAGCCCATGCAACTGCAAGCTCTGGTGCCTGTCTTAAAGTCTTCTTCTACCTTTCCAAGCAGCAAAGGGAAGGAAAATGGGAAAATTCACAGTTAAGTACAGGAGTATTTGTGAATAACTGCAGGTCCAGGCCACTTGTAAGATGCCCTGCACAGACACACCACATACACACACGTTTGAAAGTTTTTACTTGGACAGGAGTTTAATTGGTTCCTTTACAATAAACTAAATGAAAAGCTGCACAGACAGATCTGCCTCCCCAGTACTTCAGAGCAGGATACTGTCCAAGTCTGTCTGTACATGCTTTGGAGAACTTCAAAGGGATTAAAGAGTGAGAAAGCACAGATATAAAACAAAGTTCTAAACAAAGCTCAATGAATCTCCATAGCACAGAGGCACTTTTAGTATCCTGCAAGCACAGCTGACCACGGAATTGCTTTTGCTCATCTCTCACCATGATCATCCTTTGGACCTGCAAGTCCTGAGGCACTCAGGGCAATTCTCACCCACAGCTGCTCTTAATGCCACTTTTTTTGTTGTCTTCTCTGAGTCTGTCACCTTGAATGGCCCAAAAGGCTACAATCGCACCAGCTTTCAATCATCTCCAAACTCTGAGTATTGCACCCCTCCTCAATTTCTGTAATTGCCTCCCCACTTGATTTCTTGTCTAATTCCTGCATAATGATTGCAGGCAGCACCACTCCTAGGTATGCCACATCCCAAGCACATCCCCAGTTTAACAGCAGTACTCAGGAAACCTTGCAACCATCAAACTAGTTCTGCCAGGAGAGGTATGCATCTTGCATTTTCTTCCCCCCTCAAAAGTGATAAGAAAGCATAGAAAAGTTAAATAATAGTTCGTAATTCACTCAAGGTCACAGACTCTGGCAGAGGTTGGATTAGGAATATAAACCAATTGCTACTGCAGCAAGAAGTGGAAAATACAGCCAGACATGCTGGTGAAGGCCTCACTACCCCATGCCAATAAACTAGTCTTAAATCTGGTATTAGAAAGCTGAGTCAGTGTTGACAGAGGAAAGTATCATGATGACAACTCAAGGCATTAATGTTCCTGGTCTATACCAGAACAGACACAGGAAATATAGCCATACTCGATAATAACTCAAGATCAGATAACACATGGACCAAGTTCAGCATTCACAAACACTGCAGCCATGGCTGTGCTATTCAATACTGTACTCCAAGCAAATACATCTGTCAAGCAAAAGACAGTGAAAAGCTGAAAAGGACATGCAAGATGAACTGGCAGACAGTCATCAGGCTTAGTCACTACCAAATCAGGACACTTCAGCAAACAGCCTAGTTAAAGAGCTAAATAGCCTTTTATTGATCCTTACTCAGTAGCAAAATGTACTTGTACCTACTTAATCCTGCTCATTTTATCTTTAGCTTCAGAGTGCCATAACTGCAAGCCTCCCGCTTTTGATTTTTTAAATCAATTTCTCATTCACTTCTCTTTGGAGGGTGATCAAAAAGCAGGTTAGAACAGTTGTTCAGTGAGCAGCTCACAGTGATTGTAAGAGACAGCAGAAACACCTCCCTAACAACGAGAGCGGGTTTCTGCCTGCCAGAGCCATTCCTCAATTCAGCACCACAAGATGAGAATCCGTGGCATACCAGAGATGAGATGCACGTACCTGCCTGCCATCCTGTCCGACATTGGTCTGTCCTCTCACTACAGTTCGAATGTTGTCATCCAATCTCCTGGGGAAAAAAGAAAAAAGAGTATCATGTCAAACTCATTCTCTATGTGCCTGACCCTAACAACTGTGGGAACCTTAAGAGCTACAGAACTCATTTAGTATAAAAAAGCTGATGCTATCAATGCTAAACCCACTTCCTCCCCCGCCCCCCAGGACATCACTATCTTATATAATTTAAAACTCCTGTTGCAAAAATAAGAATCCATTCCTTAATTTAATCAAGGCTTCTTGCATTTCTCTTCCTTTAAGCCATACTGTCAGTCTTCTCTTGCCAGTTTTCATTTCATCTTTCCCCACATGAAAGTGCCGTCTCACTCATTTCAAGTTGGCAATGCCAAACTGCACAGAAAATTTAAGTATTTCCTGCAGACTTACATTTATTTTGTACTTATAGGACAAATGGTACATAATAAAAGTTTTTACAATTGCTATTTTGACCTCACAAACAATAAATTCTGGGCAAGCGAGTCTTCTGGGTTGTTTGTTCCTTCAGCCTTTAAACTGTACTAAAATTTGGTACTTGTTGATTCTTAATTCATTGTTTTTCAAAGCTCTACTTTGCAACCCATCAGCTAAAATAACCTGAAGGGTATTACATAGTAGGAGCAAAATATAAAATATTATAATAAATAATTGTCTCTGCCCCACTATTACACTTTGAAGCTGATCCTATTTGTCCCTCAAGCAAATTAATTCCTCCCAGCTCTAGTGCAAGGGTTGTATTTATAAAGCCTCAGTGAAAACTCAGCATCTGAGATGCAATGAAATGGAGAAACATTTACCTTATTTTCAACCTGATTTTGTTCACAACTTCATCAATGTTTGCCAAAGACTACAACAAGAAAAAAAAAAAAAGAGAGAAGTGAAATGGAGAACCTTTTACTGTGATACGAATCAGCTGTGACACCTCTTGCTTTCTCAGGAATGACACTTTACAAAGAGATGAGCAATGACTTCGTTTTACAGATGGAAGAACTGAGACACACGGGCAACTTAGCTTCAAGGCTCAGAGGTCACATCATGAAGAGCAGCAAAAGCCAGAGCAGGCCAGGGTGCAGCTCTCCAGGTCCCAAAGGCTCCCTCCTTCTCACCCAGCCCTGAGCCTTGTCAGCAACTGCTCCCGAAACGCCGTGGTGACAGTGACCTCCAGTGGGCAACGGGGACAGAGCCTGCGCCTTCCCTGGGCAGAGACCCTCCTGCAGAGCCCAGCACATGGGCTGGAGGAGGCCTGCTTGCCGCTGAAGCTGTAGTGGGGGTATTGCAGGGAAAACAGCTCTTTGCTGTTAGCAAAGGGAAAAAGCCAAGGCAGCACCACCAGCAAACTAACTAGAAACAGGCTGAAAGCCTGAAAGCTGGTGCTACAGAGGATCTTAAACATGGTAAATGTTTAAACTGGTAAATTGGGGCTGCCTCACAACCCAATCCAGCTGTAGAATCACTTCCTTTAGCAACAGATTAGTCCAAAACTGCCCCTGGGGCTGATCTGGGTAAGACAAAGTATGGTTATGAGCCCATGGCAATCTTATTCCTTAAATCTCAAAAGAAACAATAGCTTTCAAACACGGGCGACTCTCCAGTGACACTTGAAGGCAACCCCTGCCTGATTTGGCCGAAACCACTGAGGACTCACCCACTGATTAATATACAGCAAGTCACGACATTTACTGCAAGAGAAACCTCTGTATAGAAAACTAATTTATTTCTACAGATCAGGAGTTTTAACGCAGCAAGCACTTTGGGTGGAAAGAGGCTACATAATGACAGTGAACATCATGAGATGTGAATTTAAGAAGTGATTATTGTTATAGTCTTACTACTTGTGCTACTGTTTAAAATAGAAGGCTTGGGTACGGGTTTCAACATGCCTTCAGTCATTTACTGTCAGGTTACCCCTCACAGAGAAGGCTGTGCTGTCAGCACTACTTACCTGCTCAGTGGGAAAAAGGGTATTAATATACTCCACAGCATTGAAATCTGCTCTGTCCAGTGGATCTTGGCTGGGAAATACCTGAAGAGAGGGAAGAAAAATACAATCAATACATCACTGTTAATTTCTGTAACTTTACACAGTATCTACTACTTTTAGTTACTTCAGCACCCACTCCTGATCATGTTTCACTGCATTGTTCTAACAAGTGTGCACAGAGAGTAGTCAGGCCTCTGCGCTGGAGTAAAGCAGCTACATTGCTGTGGATGTCAGCCTGGGTAAACACCAATAATGCATACGCATGCCTCCACATACAGGCCCAACACAATCAATAACGTGCAAGGAATTCCTGACATAGACAAACCTTTCATTATCCATCCCAAACCATTCTGATGTGCCTGGAAATTACCCCCTGTCCTGAGGCATTGTCCTGCTCTTTGCAAGGCCCTGTGGTGAAAGGGTTTGCTGTTCACAGCCATGTAAGAAGGAACATGATGAATTGAGAAATGGTTGTACAAGTTCTCTGGAGACCTGGGTTTGCCACTTCCACATGAAAAAGAGGGAGAGAAACAGAATCTGCTGAATGATTATTCCTATCCACGTGAAAGGGGAAAGAGCAGCTGCGGTACAACAGATTTCCTCTCTCCTCAGAAGCAGTTCAAACAATACAAAGGCAGCTGTCAAGCTTTGCTTTTTGTCCCCACTGACTGCAAGATGGTGCTTTCCCTTCTCTGCTAACATATTAATTCCATATTCACACAGCCATCAGCTCTGCACTCCGTGGTCAAAACCATGACTAGCAAATCCACAGCTCACTCCTACACATCACCCTGGTCACCAAAAGCCTCCACAGAAACCTGCATGACCTGAGCACACCAGCATTTATGCTGTTTTACACATTTTTCAGCTTAAAAGCAGTGGTTTTGCGAGACCACTTCCATGAACCAGACCTCTTCAGCAGCTTTCCCAAAGCTACTCCTGTAGCCAAGGAGAAACAGGCATCAGTTAAATATGCACAAGGTGGTGCCTCAGTGAGGAACATGCTCTGACATTAGCCCATCCTCACAGCATAGTTGCAGCATCACAACCAGCCTGTCCTGCTCTGGGCTCACAGCTCCTGCAGATTCAATTAATCCCAAATCTCCACAAACAGCTGAAGCAAGGGTTGGGATGGAAGATAAAGGCTGGTCAGGAGCTTTACTCCAACTGCAGATACAGATCAATGCTGCTGGCAGCTGTACCAGCTGAAGAGGTTGCTACTCCTCTGCTTTTGCCACAGCTCATTAACCAGAAATGACCACCCCACATTTGATGGAGCACCATGTGTGCTCCCTGCCCTGCTTCAGGCAGGAGTCAGCTGAGCCAGTTCTGCTCATTTAACCAGAGCCTGGCAGGTTCTGCCCAAAGCTGATTAAGGAACACAAAAGGAACAACAGGATTATTGGGTTGGGAAGTGCCAGTGAGGAAGTGATGGAAGGCAGCATCCTCAACATCTCCCCTAGCTCTGGATGTGAGTATCTGCCAATGGCCCTACTGCCTGTTAAAATAATCCAGCCAGGGACATTGTGGATTCTCCACTGCTTGAAAACTCAAGTCACGATTGTCTCTAAAAGACGTGGTTTATGTTGAAGCAACATTTGTCCTTTATTAAAATGTCACTAGGTAACTTTCCTTGGTTGTCTAATGTTAGGAATCACAGCAGGCTTTCAAACATATGGGTTCTATCAAGTGCAGAGGGTTCTTCTGGGCAAGTTCCAGGTCTGCTTTAGAAGCTGGCATTTAATTTAGCAATTCTCAAAGCTTCAACAAAAATTACTCAATTACTTACTGCCAGGTTTGCCAACCCTATGCAAAGGTAAGAATATGTGAGGTGTCTCTTTCTTTGGAGAAAGAATATTCCAAAGCTGGCAGAGCACCCACAGAGAAACTGTGCTGGCCCCCTCACCTTCTGGTGCTGGACTCACTCCAGATGTCATGATCTGCCCCAGTTCCTTAAGGAGAGACACCAAAAGTGATCCATCAGCCTCAATACCAAAGAAACTGTGAAAACTCAATGATGCTTTGGGATACAGCGATTGCTGCCGACAGACTTCTACTACACGGAGGAGCATTTCAGATGGAAGGGTTGGCTGAAGACAATTCAAGCTCAGTCAGGTTCCAACAGACACATGATTTTACCCCGGGTTCTCTTGGACTTTTGCTGGGCTCCAAGCACCACAAATGGTTTCAAGGAACACTGGAGAACTTGGCTCAATGATGCTTTGGGATACAGCGATTGCTGCCGACAGACTTCTACTACACGGAGGAGCATTTCAGATGGAAGGGTTGGCTGAAGACAATTCAAGCTCAGTCAGGTTCCAACAGACACATGATTTTACCCCGGGTTCTCTTGGACTTTTGCTGGGCTCCAAGCACCACAAATGGTTTCAAGGAACACTGGAGAACTTGGTCTGAAACATACCAATCACAAAAGTCAAGCCAAGCCATTTCCTGACTTCACAGACCCATAGGATGGTTTGAGATAAAAAGGATCTTAAGATCACCTAGTTTCAACCCCCTGGGATGAGCAGGGACCCCTTCCACTAGAGCAGGTTGCTCCAAGCCCCTGTGTCCAACCTGGCCTTGAACACTGCCAAGGATGGGGCAGCTACAGCTCCTCTGGGCACCCTGTGCCAGCGCTCACAGCCGAGTCACAGAACACTGAGCTCCATTAAGACACTTTACACACCCAGTGCTCAGCAGACAGAACGGGCACGGCCGGCCCAGCGCGCTCAATACCCCGATGGGGAAGCGATCAGATGCGA